CACACACACACACACACACACACACACACACACACACACACACACACACACACACAAATAAACAGAGCTTATATAATACAGCATTGAAGAAGTGTGGCTGTAAAAAAGGCATGTGGAGGAAGGGAGGTTATTACATTATACAGTATGAAAGGGGAAAGGATAACAGCCAGAGTTTACAAGAAACACATTTTTCATTTTTACAGTCAAGCCAACTTTACTTAATATAAATATTCTTCATCCAAAAGTCAGTGCAGTGCCTTCTGCTCAGGCTTCACCTGGTCCTCATCCCCGGTCCACTTTACACCCAATCTGCTCAAGACCTGGTCCACAAATTACCCTTTCCACTTTGCACACAAATCTTTTTTTTCTTTTCTTTTTTTTTAAACATCAGTTTTCTCTCTAGTCTAGTCTCAATGCAATGTGTGTCTCTCTATGTCTGTGTGTGTGTGTTTGTATATTTTTTTAATCACCCAGTACCTCAAAAGTCCAGCTGTGAAGTACAAGAGTTTGTTTTTCTACCAATTAGCCAATAGAAAAAGAGATCCACAAAATTTACAAATGTCCATTTTTTTTCTTCTTTTCTCCTGAATTCCCTTTTTGTTTTTTAGAGAGAAAAAAAAAGAAGTTCGTGGATGGAGCAGCTCTACTGGATTCCCCTGAAGAGACACATTGCAAAAACCATGGCAAAAAGCTGAGGAAAAAGGGAAAGAAAAAGAAATAATGAGCACACATACAGAAAATCCCTCCCTCCCAAATTGTTAATAGAAATAAATACACTGTACTGTCCAATATTCACCTCATTTTAAAAACCACTATGTTCTGTGATACTGAATTTTAGCACAAGGTGGCGATGTTGCTATTCAAAAAGCATAACACTGGCATATTCAGGCAAATAGCCTTGGGTTAAAGCAGCCTTGCAAAATTTCTAAAATGAATATTCAGAATACACTGGAGGCAAAAAAAAAAAAGTTGCATATTTTAAAACTTGCTCATACCTCAATGGTTAGCACCACTATGGCCAGGGCTCCAGCCACATAGATGTACAATTCAAAGTAGTCAACTACTGCAGAGTAACAACCCTGTGGATACAAAGACGTGACACTCAGCAGAGAATCAATAGGCTATAAACTTGCAGAATTACAGAGACAATTAAAGTAACATCACAGCTTCAACTGAGTGAGAGTCTGAACAAAGGCCTGACTGAATGAGTGGGAAGGAGGGCCTCCAGCCTCACTGGCTTTTAATGAGAGCTCTTTGTGTGAATGAACAGAGCGAGGCACACACGGTGGATATCTCTCATTGTTCTAATGGGCTGAAAAACAACAGGTGGAGACTGCAGTAAAAAAGCTCTTCCTATCAACTTTCACTGTAATTACACTCAAGGCTTCCTTTGTGCACATGGAAGCCATGTGAGCAGGGATGTGGGCATGCACGTGTGTGTGTGTGTGTGCGTGTGTATATATCTCACACAAAACACACGCACACATCCACACACATACATAGCGCTGTTGTCTCTGTGCTCTACCACACAGTAAGATGGTCTTCTGTGACACCCAAAACACAGAAAAGCACTAATCAGCCATGGAGGAGTCAGCTAGTCCCTGGATGTCACCCCTCAACCGTCTTCAGCTCTAATTAAGCCTTGAGGAGGTTTAGAAGAAGGAAGTGAAAGTGAGAGAGAGAGAGCGAGAGAGAGCGAGAGAGAGAGATGGCGAGAGAGAGAGAGAGAGTGAGAGGTCTTGACATGGTGGATGTGAAAAGTTACCTTATTATTACGGAACATCATATTGCCCGATAAGCACTGCTCCTGGCTGGTATAGGCTGACTCGGCAGTCTGAGCGGTACGCTGGCAGCAGGCTTCTGGCACCACATGATTTTGGTTCATCATCCTGAACATGCTTTCCTTAAAATCCTCTGGGCTGTTCACCCCACAGCAGTCAAACTGAGAGGAAGGAGAAGAAGAAGAAGCCGTTATTGTTAAGCGCCCGTTTGCGCACTGGCCTGTGGTCCACTGTGTGCGTGCTGCAATCCAGCATGAATATTGACCTAAATGTCTCGGATTTATCTATAAAATATAGCCCTGGCTGTTAACCTTAACGTTTCCACAGACTGTTTGGTGGAAAGGGTGAGTCGGTAAAAGCTGCATTACGTCAGCTCTCTGCCATGTGTGCGGTGGTCTTACTGTAGTCATGATGGCGTTCCATGTGGAGGTGAAGACGTCGCTGTTATTGTAGCCCTGATAATGTTTCTTCAGCTCTTTGGTGAAGTACTCTCTGGTCAGCTAAAGTGAAGGCGCACATGTTAGCGTCACACAGATAACATCGGTTACTTCGAATGATTTCACTGAATTCTGGGTTGGGCTGAGTGTCATTTATATTAGGGAACTGCGCTAACTTAACACATTAAAGTCTTCTCAGGGAAATCTGGTGGTGCTACGGCAAAATCTAGTGGTGTGGAGTTACAAAGAAGTGAGCTCACCAGCAATCTGCTCCTCATATGTGTTTGGGCCTACAGACTTGAGGCTAGATTAGGCTAAATCTTTGTGGTCACACGCCTAATGAGTAATGTACCAAACAGGTTTTGACATGGAGAATTAGAGTGCATCTCTGGTTGCTGAATAGAATTTGATCCCAATTTTTAAGTGTGCATCACAAGCACAACATTGTTATAGGAATGCAATGCTATAAATACAAACACTTGTGCAATACCTGAACACCGTCAAAAGAAATTTTCAGAATCATGATTTCAATTAGCAGCTGTCAGGTCCGGAAGTACAAAAAGTAAGAATCTGAGCCCTTGCGTTTTGACACTCAGCCCAACTGCAGACTTGTGATCAAAGGTGGAGTGAACTTTTTAAGAAACTTACATGCTCCCGGAATATGAAGGCTAGGATGGCAGCAGCCAGCTCTGCTAAGAAGATCAGGAGGATGAGCATGAAGAACTGCAGTAAGACAAAAGGAAAAAGGAAAGGGTCAGAAAGAGTATGACAAGGTAGATGAGAGTGAAGACAAAAAAGTGCATGTTCATGTGTTTACAGTTTTTTCTGAATGCTTAAACCCTAACTGTGATTCCTGTAGCACAATTTCTAAAACTATTCAGACTTATAGCAAAACCACTCACTGAGTTTGCAAAACTAAAAGCACAAAAACTGCTTTGCACTCAGTTTGCAATTTTGTAACACACACTTTGCAAAACTGTAGGCACAATTCACTGCACAACACTCAATTACCAAATTTCCAACACACTCCTAGCAAAAGTATACACATGTATGGCTATCATTAACACTAATTTGCCAACTGTCTGGCACACTTTCACATGTGAAAACTTTTTTAGATAATTAGTTCACTTTGCAATCAGCCTAAGCACTATAATACAGGTAAGCTGTGTGTGCGGAGTACAATGGAGGGAGCAGAAAGAGTGAGAAGTAGAGGAGGCCGAGGAAGAGGACGTGGAGGTGAAGAAGTAGGATGAAGAGGACGACAAGGACAAGGAGGAGCAAGAGGAAGACGAGGAGGGGGGAGAGGAAGGGTAGGAAGAGTAAGAAATAGAATTGCTGATGACATCAGAGCTACAATAGTGGACCATGTAATCAACCGTGGAATGACCCTGAGGGTAGCTGGCCAACGGGTCCAGCCTAACTCGAGCCGCTACACTGTAGCAAGTACCATAAGGACATCTTGAAATGAGAATCGGTTAGTACAGTCACTTCGCACAAAGATTTGTAGCACTGCCATATGCCAATGAGAAACACACCAATACCATTGATGTAAAAATACTGAAATTGTTACTTTACAGAATTGCTAGATGACCAGATGCTGGGGCAGAGGAAGCATGTTCACTGCAGACCAAGTAACCCATATAGTCATTATGGCGATTGCAAATAATCCTATACTTGGAAATAAACACTTGTGTTTGTTTTGATGTGTTTGAATAAACACCAGTACTTGAAGTTTGGATCCCTCTATGCTTATGGATCTATGACAGAAGTATGAGCTCAAACTGACATAGCCTACCTTGTGCACAGAGAAAGCAAAAGCCAGATGTGTTTTGTATTCATACCATCAGTGTGCAGTTGGCGCATTGTGTGCTTAGTAGATGATGGCTTGTGTGTACTGTTTGATACGGAAACACCATTTTTACGAAGGTGTGAAGAGTTAATCTAGCTGTGTTTGCTTTTGCAAGAGAACTACAATGTTTTGATTATTGGGTGACAGGTTTTCTTATTTGTGTGAAGAGTTTTGCAAAATTAGCCAATAGTTACAAAAAATGTGCTTAAGCAATCAGAAAAAACTGTAAAAAAGAAAGGAAAGTGAAAAATCGCATTTTGGTGGTGCTCACTTCACTCAGCACAAAGACAGCATACAAAAGCATTTTTGCTCTTTTGGCTTTCTGTTTCAAGACTGACAGAGAGAATAATCAACACACACACACACACACACACACACACGAGCGGTAACACAGCTATGTTTTGACTTTGTCAGCCAACTCACAAAGAGGAGCAGACACTTGTTTTCACGGATGGCTCCACAGCAGCCCAGGAAGCCGAGGAGAAAGAGCATGCCTCCCATACCAAGGATGATGTAGACACCGGTGAATAGCAGGGGGTTGGTTGCTACGATTTCCCTGAACCCTGTGGGGTCCACCAGTACCCACACTCCCACTCCAAGGAGGAAAGAGCCCCCCAGCTGATAACGACAAAAGGCAAAGAGTACATTACTTAGACAAAATAGAAATCGACAATTCAGAAGATATAGTAGCTTTGTATCCCCAGCAACTCAAAAGATTCAACCAGAGGTCATATGGTGACTTTTTTTCTCCACTGTTAGCTATGCAAATACCACAGAGGTTGGAGGTAAAGCTAAAATAAGAGGCTGGGTGTCTACAGAGCCACAGTACCTCAGTGGGGGTAAGGGTGGATAAATCTACCCCCTTGAACTACTCCTCCCAGCCTCCCCACCTGCTAAAGAAATGCAATGAGCTTCCATCCTTTCCCATCCTCCCTTTAATAAAATCCTCTCTGCAGCCACTGTGGGGTGACTCATATGATTAAGAAAAGAAGATATTGAGTCAGGGGGAATAGATCTGAGCTTCCAACATTTTTACCCCAATCCCCTTCTTCCTGTCACCTGGGGTTTGTGCAAATGATAGCCACTCTGTGGTACGAGGAGAAGAAGCAGCTATTTTCAAGGCACTGGGCTTTAAAAGAAATGCTGCCGAGTTACACGAGTGTGAAACGGCCTTAGATAGACACACTTAAAAAAATAATAATAAAAAAAGAAAGCTGTGAAAAGTAGTTGTTACAGTGATGCCGACAGTCAAGTTCATTCTTTGCTCCGCTGGTTGCATTATTACCCCAGCCTTGAGCAACCTCATCTAAACAGAGACTCTAAATGGTTTGGTTGTGCTTAATAAAGCAAGAAAAGAGACAAACCTTCTTACTCTGACCCTCCCCCGCTTTACGGCTTCAGACTAACAGGATTACCCTTGATTGTCTGATCAAGACCGATAAACTCAGGTGCCAGTCACAAACTCCACATGGCACAATGTGCCTCAGATGTGTGTCAGCACACTAAAATTTAATCAAAAGAGAATTTGATAGAATCAAGATTGCCTCATCTAATGAAATGCAAATGTGGCTCCATTAGTCAGTCAGGCAGGGAGCACGCAGAAGCCCTTCTTAAATCATTAGATTGACACAAACTTCAGAGACGGCCAGATTAAGTGTCTTTGAGAAAGAGATGAAAAAAAAATACTCACAAAGATGAGGAAATTGAAGACAAACATGAGGTACTTGATGCAGCTGAGACAGTCCCCCTCCATGGTTGTCCCCCGTGCTGAAGCCTCTCCCTGCCCCTGAAAGAAAAGACATTAAATACAACATAAAACGTGCCACTTAATGACTCCTGCCAAATGCTCACAGTATTCCCCACTTTCCTGCACCCTGGATAAGCATTACGCTGAAACTGCCAAGAAAAGGGATGCTCTGCCAGAACCTGCTCACATTCTTAATGAGTTCTGTCAGTCAAACACACAGCACACACACGCACGCCTGTCAGCTGATTTGGTCCAATTTCAGATGAAAATCCTCATATTATCCCTTTAGGTGCATTGTCCCCAGCTATAGTCCTGGCAATCCCCAAGCAACTACGAGATTAGGCAGCACAATGTCAACCTATCTGACACATCTCATTTTAGCGTGCTCTCAAACTTAGCCGCCTGTCAGCTCCTCCTGTCTCCGGAAAAATGGCAACCCTATGTTAGTGCAACTGGAGGGGACGTCCATCTCTGAAGCATTTTAAGGAAATGAGTCCTGACAGGGGTTCCATGTTCATTAGCCGACAAGAGATGGCCTTTGCTATGGAACTTCTTCTTCTTCTTAATGTAATGAGAGGCCTTGTGCTCCCATCAGCCACCACTCCATCTGACACAAACACACTTTGCTTGATGAAGACCCATCCTAGAAGCACTCCTGGTTAATGAAGAACACCTCTCCTGCATTAGCAGACAACACTGGGGCGACAGTGTGTATGTGGGGTGGGGTGTCTAAAAATCCATGTACACCTAAAAATGCAGCGTGCCCTCGCTGAAGCAAATGTTTAACCTTTCAAGCTGCAGATGAAAAGATTTCTCCCTCAGCCTTTGTGAGCTAGGGACTAGGGCTGTGCGATATGACCAAAATCTCATATCTCGATATAAGACATTTATCATCCGATAACGATATAAATCACAAAACTTTAACATTTTCTGTAAATTCTGTGAATCTCGGGCAGCTCGACTTGAGTGAAGTGTTTCCAGCTGGGCGTTGTGTACCTGGAGTCGAGTGTTTTAACCGATGCATTAAACGATACATTTTTAGACATAAGTTGTAACGGCCGCCGTTTTCTTTGTGAGTATTTATTACACAGGGTGCTGCGGGGAAAAGCCTTTTCTAACGTTTGAGTCTAATGTTTATTTTTTAGCACCTGACGGCTCTTTTTTGCTTCTCAACAGTAAGCACTCCACATAGTCTTTCACGTGGGTAAGTTTATTTTGAAAAGTCTCAACAGGATCTTGAGCTTTAGTGTGAAAGGTTTATGCGGAAAATAAACAAGCGGACATGCGATGGTTTTACCATCGTTGTTGCTAACGACAACGCATAAAAACAGGCGCTTGTCCATCCCTAGTGTGGTTATATTAAATATAAGAGAAAGAACTTTAAGAAATTAATATAACCACTACAGTGACCATCAAAACGATGAAAAGATATTGCCGTAAACTGTTTATTTTGCGACACCACGAAACAAACCATAGCGTAAAATGAAACGATAGACGTTTTTATATCGTCATCTGGTCGTTATATGGAACAGCCCTACTGGGGACTGTGTAAGGATTCATATCTACGTATTCTGCACAAACTGAAATGAAAACAATCTGTGGGGCAGCTGTAATTGCAGTCTCAGTGAAGGAAGAAAATTAATTATTTGGCAGAAATGAATTGGCACTCTTTGCTTTGTACTTTCTGATTATTAATTTGCTCTCCCATAGTGATAGCCAGGATTGAGGCTGGCTAACAAGCGGATTAAAAAACGATTTCTCAGAGGAATTGTAAATAGGTTTACACAGCTACACACTGCACCTGCAAATTGAAAAAAAAAGAAAATCTTTAAATGCCTTCTTCGCACTTCTTTTATCCGTACTTGCAGAACATCCATCAGCTGTAATTTCATAACGTGTAGGCAGGCTTTCCTTTGCTTGATGTGATGTCAAAGGACTCCTCTGGGTGATCTCTCTCTGCTTCTCCGAGGCAGGAGTGAAACCTCTGTTGTGATCAACACCGGGCTTGATTCCCGTCCATCTTTGAAGACCCTCGGCTGTCGCTCAAATCTCATTCCGCCTTGACCCTTTCATCCCTGTGCTGCACACAGCAGACTCACGAATGTTGGCTTTCAGGTATTATAAACCATAGCCCAGCACAAAGCCCTGCCTAGGCACAAGCAGTTTTGAGCTGCTGGAGCAATTATTTCCCACAGAAGAAAAGGAAGCGTGTGAATAATTAAGGCAGAACTGATATCTTTTTCTAATCTGTTTTTCTATTATTACAGCGCACTAACACTGGTTGTTTTTCATTCTGCGAGCCTCATGAAAAGCTTTTTTTTTTTTCTTCCCCCCATTGCATTGTTAACTCCCATAAGTTGCCGTGACAATAAAATTAAACAGTACTAAAGATATGACGGCATTCTTTGTCTGCTGTGAGAAGAAGCTACCCTACAAAAAAAGACCTTTTCCTCTTCTCACCAGCCAGAGGGCTTATGCTTCTGTTTGTTCCCCTTTACCGCTTTCCTCTTTGGACCCAGGAAATTGATTTAGACCTATGGTTAAACACTTTCTGTAAATCATAATAATATGCTTAGGTATTGATTACCCTTCTAGTGGTACTCTGAGAGCAACCAACAGATTCATTGTCTGAGATGGGTTTTAATTAACCCCTCCCTTTCCTAAGCCCCAGAAAGGTCTAATGAGGGCACAGGAGGTCTTAACTGAGATTTGCATACATTACAGTCTCATAGAAAAGCATCAGAAAAGGTCCATTCCTATCCCTCCAGCTCGAGCCTGTCAATTCTGGGCCCTTATGAAGGGTGCAAACTGTATTTATTGAGGCAGGGGATGAAGAGGTTGAATGAATAGGAGGGGAGGAGGAGGAGGAGGAGGAGGAAGGGGCCGGCTGGAAAACCTCTCAGGGCACAGCTCACTTCTTATTCTCTAAACAAAATGTCCAATTTCTTTTCCAGCTTCACCCTTTTGCTCTTTGCTCCCATTTCAGGGTCAAGCTGACTGTCAGATCTGGAGCCAATTTTCTTCTGTGCATTAAAATGCATTGAATATTTAAGAATAAAATGGGTTATAGTGTAAGGGCCCAGACAGGCTCCAAATAACAAGCCTATGGTTGAAAAGCAGCATGGTATAAATCAAAGTGCCACTGAGACCCCGGAGAAAGTGCAGAGTAAACAAACCGGTCTTTCCCATGACTCCTGTGGGATCACAGGTCCTCATCGATCACTGGCCAGTCGCAGAGATCAGACCACTAAGGCTTTCTCTGAATATTCTGCAGTGTATATGATGTAGACAAGGAAAAACATGGTTCACACCCCAGGAGCTGCAGGCTTATATCACTTTTGAAAAATTGCTACTAGGTTAAAGGCTGGTCCTCCTCAGGTGTGCCGCTGAGCAATGCTAGCGATGTGTTAAGAAAACACGCTGTACTGGCTAAAATCTATTATAAATAAACATGCCACACATGCACACACAAAAACAGTGAGGAGTACTGCACTGCTACAACTACACAATGTGCTGGATTTTTTCTTTAAACATGCAGGAAATACTGTATGTCCTCAATCTGACAAGCTAAGCGACAGTCTTCGCCCCGAGGTATCCAGCAAATGCCAAATCTGTCTCCATCTCCTGTAACTGACATCATAAAATGTCATGCGGCGCTAAGAACCCATTGTTTACTCCTGGTGAAAACTGATCCACAGTCAGCTTAGGCTGTGGAAATTGGCACAGATGAGTTTGATGGTGGATTGATGTGAACTGATCCTAAAAGCATCAACCTCACACTACCAAAAGAAGCAAGAGCTCTCTAATGAGGACAAACTGATCCGACCTATATTCGTCTCAATGGAAGCGTGAGGAATAGACCTTTTCTTTTTTTTCCCCCATTCCTAACTCATAAAACCAAAAGTCTGTTCAGTCGGCACCTACACAATCAACCATTATGGTGGTGTCAACCCGCTGTAATTAAAAGATAAGGAAGACACAGACTAGATTGAAAGTACTCCACATATAAATAGCACACCCGTGGGTGATTCTCCTTGAAGATGTCACTTTCAGCAGGATTAATGAAACCAGTCCATATTCCCTTGCTCCCCCAGCGGCTGCCCTGGACAAAAGGATCAGAATTACAAGGACACTCTGTGTCTGCTCCTCGTCAAACTGTCGCCATCCTCCACCCTCACATAACCAGCAAGTTCACTTCATCTTGAGCATGATCCTGCATTAAAAACAATCATTAATACTGAAATCCTCTCGAGATTTTATGGGTTGTATCTTGACCCCTTTAAATATCATTGACCCTCTAAGTGATCACCTGTAATTGAACCCTGGGGAGGACACATTCGTTCCCAGGCTCCCCGATGCAGCTGGAGCAGGTGTGTTTTGTCATCAACTGCATGCCAGTCTAAGCTCTCCGTGCATGCGCTAATACCCTCTGACAATGACACTAGGGGACCACACACATGCCACATCAGCCTTTATCTCAATTAAAAGCCCATTTTCATATTTCTCCATGACTTCCTAGATCAGCCACAGCAAGTAAACACCCCCAAATCCGAATAAAGACAGGCTCCTCTGGCAATGAAATGGGTTCCCGTGAGGCGCACCAAGTCCTTAATGAACCTCCAATTAGGAGAGAATGAGCCCTGGGCTCTGCTGTCACACGGAGGAGCTTTGAAGTGCACAGAATGCTAAACAGCAATAGCACTGTATACTTTAGAGGGCATACAGTTTTCAGACAACAGCAAACAACCACACGGAGAAAGTGTACAAAAGTAGCTCAAAGGCAGCTCGCAGTGTGTGCGTGTGTGGGTGTAGCTCTCACACAGAGAGGAGTGCAGACACTGAGCCGGGCAAGCTAAAGCAAAGGTCCTAATGCTGGTTAGATGCTCAGGTAGGTATTTTAACTTGTCTTTCCTCAGGCAAGTTTAGCTTAATGAGTTTTCAGAGTACACACAGAATATCATCAGCTTCTGCACATTACAGGGAATGCTAGTTTGCTCCCCTCCAAAAGTGGACAGTTTATGATGAACTGGTTCAGTCGT